GAGAGTATCTGGTGGAGGAGGCTGAGGGGAGATGGAGCTCTTTAACATCCTCCAGAGGAGCTATGGAGAAGCAGTTCTCCAATGTCTCCTGTCTGTAATGAGTGACATGACCTGAGGGAATGGCTGGAGCTGGGTCAGGGAAGGTTTAGGTCAGATATTAGAATAAGGTTCTTCACCCAGAGGGTGCTTGGGAGCTGGAAGAGGCTCCCAGAAAAGTTGTCACAGGACCAAGCCAGATGGAGCTCAAGGAGTGTTATCATCATATTGCAAAAGTCCCATACCTCCTCAGTGATTTCTCATGGGTATCTCCTCACAGCACTGACTCCTTCTTCTGCACAGCCAACAATCTCCATCTCTCTCCTCACCCAGCTAACCCCCTCTTTTATAGCACTCATCCTCACAGTACACAGCAGTGGCCTGTTAAGGGCAGGCCTGCTCCTAGTCTCTGGTAATTAGTACGGCTGCAACTCCTCAGGGGTAAGATTACCTTCTGCACTATCTTTATTTTCTCACATTCTATCCCCTCACAAAGGAGTGTTTGGACAATATTCCCGGGTGGGACTCCTGGGGACTGTTCTTGTGCAGGCCCAGGAGCTGGACCTGATGATTCTTGTGGGTCCTCTGTGATTCTGGTAAAACAGTTTTCAGTGGCCATGTTGTACTTGGGGCACGTATTTTTGTGTGTGCTATGGTTACAAAGAACATAGAGTGCAATTTGGAAAGTGCAAAGGCTTTTATTTATTCAGACTAATTGAAAGCGGGTTTTTTTGTTTGCTTAAAGCCAAGGCTATCTCTGATTGTAAGTTTGATGTAAAGTTTCAGAAGTAATTAGTACATGTCAGAAAGTTACTGCAAAGCATATTTAATTTTTTACTAGAAATGGAGCTTTATCTGATAATTATCGGGTCAAAATTTGCAGAAGTATAATCCCTGTGTTTATCAAGTAGTTACAGCAGGAAATAATTTTCAGTGAAATGCAGCAGGGATATAAATCACAAAATAATTTTATTGCAACATTCACTCCTTCCACACCTAATTCAGAAAACATATAAAAGGTGGAGGGTTCACATTGTTCTTCCTACTTGCAGCAGCATTAGCTCTGCAGTCAGGATGCATCTCTCTGTAAGTATGCATGCTTTTCTTCCTTATAAACTGAAACTTTGATTCAAACCCATTCCTTTATCTCTCAGAAGGGCTTATTGTCAATGCTTTTGCACCACTGGAGCACTGCACTGGTGCATCAAGCCCTTCCCTGTAATGCCAGAGCAGAAGAAATGGAAAAGCTTTCTCCTCACACTTGTGAAATACCTGTGTGTGCCTGCACAGCTCTGAGAAACAACTTGGGGTTCAGCTCTTGAAAGAGCAAGTGTTGAGTGTGTCTACTTTGAGCAGCCTGGGGTAAAGCAAGGGTGCCTCCCTTTGGGGCACTGATGCAATCCCAGGTTGAAAGCAAAAAAAGGATCCAAGGAGGACCCTTGAACATCAGATTAGGAAAAGGGAAGGAGGACTCTCATGACCAGATTTGTCAGCCAGAGCTGCAGTTACACTTTTGTATTTGTTTTTGATTTCAGATTTTGACTGCAGTCCTTCTAGGACTCGTCCTGACCCCAGCCCTTGCTAATTATGTGAGTACAAATGAATGATTCCACAATCCTGCTCTTTCTGTGTTCCCTTCTTCATGAGATCCTCTTTTTCTTTCACCACCCCTTTGGAGGGAACAAATTGAAATCTTCTCTGACAGATGAAACTCTGGCACTCTCTGTGTGGTAGAACTTCTAGTCTAGGAAAGATTTTTGTTAAAATTTTAGGAGATCACTGACTAGCTTGAAAATCTAAAAATGTCTCATTTTTTAATTGAGTCTCAGCATAAAATAGAAAAGCAGCAAGTCATCCTTGGGGTAGAGACTGAGGTCCCCATCACTAGTGGCCAATCACAGATTATGATGGCACTTAGCAGAGAGCAGCCCTTCCAATGTAGCAGGGAATTTTTCTAAAACTGTGGGGACATCACTGCCTCCCTTCAGACTAAACATCTTCTTTCCCTTGGCTTTTCAGTCTCAGCAGTCGGGTAACAACTGCCAGGTCTCTGTTGGTGGTGTTTTCCAAAATCTGACTCTCAGTAGTCTGACACGTGTGGTGGTTATTGAACAAAGGAGCAACCAGTTCTCATGGAAAACCGTCTGGAACTACAACACGGTGAGTGGCAGGGAGGAGGCTTGTTCACAAAGCATGTGAGGAGACTGGCCCAGGAATGGGGATTGTTTCCTTATTCTGTACATCTGGAGCCCATGATTTGGGGCAGCAACCCTTGGCATTTGTTCCTGTTTTAACAACGGGTTTTCTCCAGTCCCAAGGCTTAAAAAACAGAATTGCAAGTGATTAATAACTTTTTCTTACAGGGTATCATTGCAACCAAATTGGTGCAACAGAACACCTGCTACATTTCTGTTATGAACAGAAATGAGATGCCCAGCTTTGAGAATCTGGCCCACATGGCTTCACAGAATGGGGTAAGATTCAAAATATATTACTGTAGTTGATATTATTTTTTTTTGTCTGAGACACTGCTATTTTACAAACCTTCTTAACCAATGGGAAAATAATAAGACATCTTATTGCTGAGACGTTTGGTAATATTTTGCAGTTACATTATTCTGTATTATCTTGCTGAATGTTGGTTTTTGCTGTTTAGAACCAGATGGGTCTTGGAAGACCCAACAAGAAGATCACCTTTGTCACTAATGGACTGGTCAACAACCTCAGCTCCTATGGAATAGAAATCACAGCTATGTGCAGTGGAGTCACCACTTACATGGCTTACGAAGTTCCCAGTGAGTGCAAGCATGGCAATTCTGAGTGTTACTGACCTGGCCTTTTTGTCTCCAGGGGCATGACTCAGGCACAGATGCTCCTCTCCCACTATGGGCCAGACAGAAACCAAGGGCTTCAGCAGTTGCACAAAGGGTTCGGCACCTTGGCAGATTGAGGCTGGAACAGGGTGGGGTCACAGCCCCCATAAATGATCCAAGCCAAACCCTTACAGCTCCTATCCAGGAAGCTTAATGGGGTGTAAATTTTGGCCCACCCTGCACTGCCCTGAAATACCAAGTAGAGAAAAGGGTTGTCCTAAGAACTGCTATCCTTCAGGTCAGAGCTTGCTGAGTTTACCCAGGCAGCCACCAAAGCCTTGTGCTAAACCAAGTGGCTTCCTCCCCTGTAACTTTTCCCCTGGGGCAATGATCCCATTCCCCAGGGTTAATGAACTACACATGGTAGGATTCTTCCAGAATGTCACAGCCCATCTGACTGTGCATCAGCTCTAGGGGTTTTGTCTTTTCTTTTGCAGCTTTGCAAGGACCCCAGGTGAATCTGGGATCATGCATTACCCTTGATGTCCTGAGAATTGTGGAGCTGAATTACTGTGGTGGCAATGGCAATTGGAATGGCAATATCCCGGTGAGAAAACCTTAGCCTTTCCCTTTTATGTATCAAATGTTGGGGTTTCCAGAGCTGCTGCCCAAAGCCAGCCCTGTTGTCCTTCTTGGCTGGCATCTCCTCTTTTGAGAGGCTCCTTCTTGAGGGTGCAGATGCTGAAAGAGATCAATGGGTTGGCAGATGTTTCCACCCAAGACTTTGAGAAGGGATTTACTCTGGCCAGTGCTCTTGCACTCATCAACATTTAAAGCCACCAAATGACAGCTGTCAGATGCAGCAATGATTCACTGAATCCATGAGGAGAATTTTTAGGGCATCTGGCCACTGCCAAAGCCTTGATTCTGGGTCCTTTGGAAAAAATTGAGGCTTCCTGCGGGCAGCACTTGCTCTATTGTAGCAGGGATTTTTCAGAAGCTTTGGGAACATCACTGTCTCTGTTCAAAGAAATGAAATGTCTTCTTTCCCTTGGCTTTTTAGTCTCAGCAGATTCCAGGTGACATCTTCAACAACACGCAGGGCAGCATCTTCAACAGCACTCAAGTCATCATTGGTGGCCAGTCCCAGATTGTGACCATCAACAGGCAATGGCATGTGGCAATCATTGAACAAACGAGCATCACTGGGTCCTGGAAAACCATCTGGAACTACAACACGGTGAGTGGCATGGGTGAATTGTTCACAAGACGCTGGCTGCAGGTAGAGCTGTCCCAGAGATGGGGCTTGTTTCTTTATTCTAACCACTTTGAGTGCAAAATTTCGGGTAGGAAATCCCAGCAATCGTTCCTATTTAAACAAAGGGGATTTTTCAATCCCAAGGCTTGAAAGAAGGAAGTGAGAGTGCTCCATAATTTTATTTTACAGGGTGTCATTGCAACCAAAGTCACTCAGCAGAACACCTGCTACATTTCCATCATGAACAGAAATGAGATGCCCAGCTTCAATAATCTGGCCCGCCTGGCAGAAGAGAGCAGGGTAAGGTTCCCAAGGAGTAGCAGAGTCCTGACCCTGGAGTTCATTGATCCATTTCTTCATGTGCTTTTTCCTCCTGGACAGGATGAGGTCCTCACAAGTGGCAGGATTTTCTTTCTCACCACAGCAGTGGGGCTTGGGTATTTTCCACACGAATGCTTTGCTGAAAGAGGAAAAGGGTTGCACTTTCCTTTTCTGAGTTCTGATTTCTCTGAGAACATTTAGCTGTGGAGCTTGCTGAAAACACTTTCTCTAAGCAGCTCTTTGAGGGCCTAATTCTTTTGGCATGCCAGGTCCTTAAAGTCCTTTGCAGGCCTTTCAATTCCGAACTGCATTGGTCAGCTCAGAACTTTGCATGGCTGCTGCTCTTGGAAAGACTCCCTTTCCCTTTGGGGTTCATGAGAGCATCTCCTATTCCTCCACCTTTCCCTTAGGGAATATATCTAGCAGGGACTAGATCCCAACAGTGATCTTGCTGAATGCTGGTATTTGCTGTTTAGAACCAGTTTGGCCTTGGAAGACCTACCAAGAAGATCACCTTTGTCACTAATGGTTTGGTCAGCAACCTCAGGTCTTATGGATCAGATGTCTTCTCTATGTGCAGTGGACTCACCACCTACATGACTTATGAAGTTCATGGTGAGTGCAAGCAAAGGAATTCAAACAGAACTGGCATTTGTTTCCCTTGGGGAATGACCAACAGAATTGCTGCTCTTCCACCTTGAGTCAGGCAGAAACCAGGGGCATCAGCAGTTGTACCAAGGGTTCGACATCTTTGCAGATCAGGATTGGAACAGGGTGGGGTCACAGTCCCCATAAATGACCAAAGCAAACCCATACAGGTCCTTTCCAGGAAGCTTAAGGAGGCTGAATTTTGGGCCCAGATTCTTTCAGCTGACACTGGCCTCCCCTGTAATGCCCAGTCAATAAAAGTGTCTCCCTAAGAACAGTTGTCCTTCAGGTCAGAGCTGGCTGACAATTTCAATGGCAGCCCAGGTCTCAGGCATTAGCTCATGGGGTTGTGTTTCTTCCTTTCTTGCTTTGCAAGGAGTCCAAGTCAATCTGGGATCCTGCATTACCCTGGATGTCCTGAGAGTCGTGGATCTGAAGTACTGCACAGGCAATGGCAATGGACAGGTGAGAAAACCTGACCCTTACCTTTCTTGAACCAAATGGGGGGGGCTTCAGGTGCTTTGGGGATATCACTGCCTTTCTTCACAGGCTAAATATCTGCTTTCCCTTGGCTTTTTAGTCTCAGCAGATTCCAGGTGGCATCTTCAACAACACGCAGGGCAGCAACACACAAGTGGTCATCATTGGTGGCCAGTCCCAGATTGTGACCATCAACAGGCAATGGCGTGTGGCCATCATTGAGCAAACGAGCATCACTGGGTCCTGGAAAACCATCTGGAACTACAACACGGTGAGTGGCATGGGTGACTTGTTCAAAAAACAAATGAGGAGACTGGCAGCAGGTAGAGCTGTCCCAGAGATGGGGCTTGTTTCCTTCTTCTGACCATGTTGAGTGCCCAATTTGAGGTAGGAACTCTTGGCCTGCTCTTCTGTTTTAACAGAGGGTTTTCTCCAATATCAGGGCATGAAAAAATGAAATCCAAGTACTCAATAACTTCATTTTACAGGGCATCATTGCAACCAAAGTCACTCAACAGAACGCCTGCTACATTTCCATCATGAACAGAAATGAGATGCCCAGCTTCAATAACCTGGCCCGCCTGGCAGAAGAGAGCAGGGTAAGGTTCCCAAGGAGAAGCAGAGTCCTCACCCTGGAATTCATTGATCCATTTCTTCATGTGCTTTTACCTTCTGGACAGGATGAGGTCCTCACATGTGGCAGGATTTTCTTTCTCTGGACAGCAGTGGGGCTTGGGTATTTTCCACAGGAATGCTTTGCTGAAAGAGGAAAAGGGTTGCACATTCCTTTTACCGAGTTCTGATTTCCCTGAGAACATTCAGCTCTGTAGCTTGCTGAAAACACTTTCTCTAAGCACCTCTTTGAGGGCCTTAATTCTTTTGGCATGCCAGGACCTTGAAGTCTTTTCAGGCCTTTCAATACCAATCTACATTGGTTAGTTCAGAACTTTGCATGGCTGCTGCCCTTGGACAGAATCCCTTTCCCTTTGGGGTTCATGAGAGCATCTCCTATTCCTCAGGCTCTCCCCTAGGGAATATGCCCAGCCATAACCACATCCCAACACTTACCTTGCTGAATGCTGTTTTTTGTTTAGAACCAGTTTGGCCTTGGAAGACCTACCAAGAAGATCACCTTTGTCACTAATGGTTTGGTCAGCAACCTCAGGTCTTATGGATCAGATGTCTTCTCTATGTGCAGTGGACTCACCACCTACATGACTTATGAAGTTCACGGTGAGTGCAAGCAAAAGAATTCTAACACACCTGGCATTTGTTTGCCCTAGGGAATGACCAATGGACAATGGGTGTTCTTCCACCTTGAGTCAGGCAGAAACCAGGGGCCTCAGCAGTTGTACAAAGGGTTTGACATCTTTGCAGATCAGGATTGGAATGTGGTGGGGTGGTGGGGTCACAGTCCCCATAAATGACCCAAATCAAATCCTTACAGGTCCTTTCCAGGAAGCTTCGGGAGGCTGAATTTTGGGCCCAGAGTGTTTCAGCTGACACTGGGCTCCCCAGTAATGCCCAGTCAATAAAAGTGTCTCCCTAAGAACAGTTGTCCTTCAGGTCAGAGCTGACTGACAATTTCAATGGCAGCCCAGGTCTCAGGCATTAGCTCATGGGGTTTTGTTTCTTCCTTTCTTGCTTTGCAAGGAGTCCAAGTCAATCTGGGATCCTGCATTACCCTGGATGTCCTGAGAGTCGTGGATCTGAAGTACTGCACAGGCAATGGCAATGGACAGGTGAGAAAACCTGACCCTTACCTTTCTTGAACCAAATGGGGGGGGCTTCAGGTGCTTTGGGGATATCACTGCCTTTCTTCACAGGCTAAATATCTGCTTTCCCTTGGCTTTTTAGTCTCAGCAGATTCCAGGTGGCATCTTCAACAACACGCAGGGCAGCAACACACAAGTGGTCATCATTGGTGGCCAGTCCCAGATTGTGACCATCAACAGGCAATGGCGTGTGGCCATCATTGAGCAAACGAGCATCACTGGGTCCTGGAAAACCATCTGGAACTACAACACGGTGAGTGGCATGGGTGACTTGTTCAAAAAACAAATGAGGAGACTGGCAGCAGGTAGAGCTGTCCCAGAGATGGGGCTTGTTTCCTTCTTCTGACCGTGTTGAGTGCAAAATTTGAGGTAGGAACTCTTGGCCTGCTCTTCTGTTTTAACAAAGGGTTTTCTCCAATATCAGGGCATGAAAAATGATATCCAAGTACTCAATAATTTCATTTTACAGGGAGTCATTGCAACCAAAGTCACGCAGCAGAACGCCTGCTACATTTCCATCATGAACAGAAATGAGATGCCCAGCTTCAATAATCTGGCCCGCCTGGCAGAAGAGAGCAGGGTAAGGTTCCCAAGGAGTAGCTGAGTCCTCACCCTGGAGTTCATTGATCCATTTCTTCATGTGCTTTTACCTTCTGGACAGGATGAGGTCCTCGCAAGTGGCAGGATTTTCATTCTCTGAAAAGTATTTGGGCTTGGGAATTTTCCATAGCAGTGCTTGGCTGAAAGAGGAAAAGGGCTGCACGTTGATTTTCCGAGTTCTGATTTCCCTGAGAACATTGAGCTCTGTAGCTTGCTGAAAACACTTTATCTAAGCAGCTCTTTGAGGGCCTTAATTCTTTTGGCATGCCAGGTCCTTAAAGTCCTTTGCAGGCCTATCAATACCAATCTGCATTGGTCAGCTCAGAACTTTGCATGGCTGCTGCTCTTGTCCAGACTCCCTTTCCCATTGGGGTGCATGAGAGCATCTCCTATTCCTCAGGCTTTCCTCTAGGAAATATGCCCAGCCACAACCACATCCCAACACTGATCCTTTTGAATGCTGTTTTTTGTTTAGAACCAGTTTGGCCTTGGAAGACCTACCAAGAAGATCACCTTTGTCACCAATGGTTTGGTCAGCAACCTCGGGTCTTATGGATCAGATGTCTTCTCTATGTGCAGTGGACTCACCACCTACATGACTTATGAAGTTCACGGTGAGTGCAACCAAAGGAATTCTGTCTCTCAGTGATCTGGCATTTGTTTCCCTTGGGGAATGACCAATGGACAATTGGTGTTCTCCCACCTTGAGTCAGGCAGAAATCAAGGATTTCAGCAGTTGTACAAAGGGTTCAACGTCTTAGCAGATCAGGACTGGAACAGGGTGGGGTCACAGCCCCCATAGAGGACCCTAGTGAAGTCCTTACAGTTTCTTTCCAGAAAGCTTAAGGAGGCTTGAATTTGGGCCCAGAGTGTTTCAGCTGACAATGGCCTCCCCTGTAATGCTGAGTCAATAAAAGTGTCTCCCTACGTGTCCCCAGCTGTCCTTCATGTCAGAGCTGACTGACAATTTCAATGGCAGCCCAGGTCTCAGGCATTAGCTCATGGGGTTTTGTTTCTTCCTTTCTTGCTTTGCAAGGAGTCCAAGTCAATCTGGGATCCTGCATTACCCTGGATGTCCTGAGAGTCGTGGATCTGAAGTACTGCACAGGCAATGGCAATGGACAGGTGAGAAAACCTGACCCTAACCTTTCTTGAATCAAAGTGGGAGGAACCTGAGCTGCAGCCCAAAGCCAATCCTTATGGCCTTCTTGCCTGGCATCTTCCCTTTTGAGAGGTTCCTGCTTGAGGGCGCAGATGCTGAAATAGAAAAATGGGTCAGGACAGGATTCCCTCCGGGACTTTGAACGTGGATTAACTGTCGTCAGTCCACCTTAGACCCTCTGCCAAGCACCCACAGCCCTGCTTCTGGGTCCTTTAGAAAAGACAGAGTGCAGGGATGGCACTTCCCAGAGGCCAGCATTTCTTCCATTGTAGCAGGGATTTTTCAGGAGCTTTGGGGATATCACTGTCCTCCTTAAAAGGTGAAATGTCTTCTTTCCTTTGGCTTTTTAGTCTCAGCAGATTCCTGGTGGTGAGGGAAGCTCACAAGTCGTCATCATTGGTGGCCAGTCCCAAATTGTGACCATCAACAGGCAATGGCGTGTGGCCATCATTGAGAAAAAGGCTGGCATTGGGTCCTGGAAAACCATCTGGAACTACAACACGGTGAGTGGCAGGGAGGGGACTTGTTCACACAGTGTATGAGGAGACTGGCTGCTGATAGGGCTGGCAGAGAGATGGGGCTTGTTTCCTTATTCTGTCCCAGTTGAGAGCACAATTTGGGGTAGGAATGCTCTGAATTTGTTTCTGTTTTAACAAAGGGATTTCTCCAATTCCAATGTGTGAAAGACTAATGTGTGATTTCTTCATATTTTCATTTCACAGGGCATCATTGTAACCAAAGTCACTCAGCAGAATGCCTGCTACATTTCCACCATGAACAGAAATGAGATGCCTCGCTTTGATAACCTGGCCCACCTGGCAGAACAGAGCAGGGTAAGGTTCCCGTGGAGCAGCAGAATCCTGCCCCTGGAGTTCATTGGCCCAATTCTTCATGTGCTTTTTCCTTCTGGACAGGAGAATGTTGTCACAAGTAGCTGGATTTCCTTTCATCAACACTAGAGGGGCTTGGGAATTTTTCAGAGAAATGCTTTGCTGCAACTTGAAAGGGTCTGCACCATTCCCTTCCTCATCTCCACTTTCTCTGAGGATGTTGAGCTGTGCAGTTTGCTTGCCACAGCCTTTCACTGAGGAGCCTTTCAAGGGCCTTGATTCTCCTGACATGCAAGGTCTCAAAGTCCTACACAGACTATTCAATACCAATCTGCATTGGTCAGCTCAGAACTTTGCATGCCTGCTGCTCTTGGCCAGAATAACTTTCCCTTTGGGGTGCATGAGCGCATCTCCCTATTCCTCAGCCATTCCCCTAGGGAATATATCTAGCAGGAATGAGAAACCAACAGTGATCTTGCTGAATGCTGGTATTTGCTGTTTAGAACCAGTTTGGCCTTGGAAGACCTACCAAGAAGATCACCTTTGTCACTAATGGTTTGGTCAGCAACCTCAGGTCTTATGGATCAGATGTCTTCTCTATGTGCAGTGGACTCACCACCTACATGACTTATGAAGTTCACGGTGAGTGCAAGCAAAAGAATTCAAACAGACCTGGCATTTGTTTCCCTTGGGGAATGACCAACAGAATTGCTGCTCTTCCACCTTGAGTCAAACAGAAACCAGGGGTCTCAGCAGTTGTACAAAGGGTTCGACATGTTTGCAGCTCAGGACTGGAACAGGGTGGGGTCACAGACCCTGATAAATGACCTAAAGCAAACACTCACAGCTCCATTCTGAGAAGCTTCATGGGGCTCTATTTTGGGTACAGAGTGTTTCAGCTGACACTGGGCTCCCCTGTAACGCCCAGGCAATAAAAAGTGTCACCCTATGTGTCCCCAGCTGTCCTTCAGGTCAGAGCTGACTGACAATTTCAATGGCAGCCCAGGTCTCAGGCATTAGCTCATGGGGTTTTGTTTCTTCCTTTCTTGCTTTGCAAGGAGTCCAAGTCAATCTGGGATCCTGCATTACCCTGGATGTCCTGAGAGTCGTGGATCTGAAGTACTGCACAGGCAATGGCAATGGACAGGTGAGAAAATCTGACCCTAACCTTTCTTGAACCCAATTGGGAGGAACCTGAGCTGCAGCCCACAGCCAATCCTTATGGCCTTCTTGCCTGGCATCTTCCCTTTTGAGAGGTTCCTGCTTGAGGGTGCAGATGCTGAAATAGAAAAATGGGTTCCCTCCAGGACTTTGAGCATGGATTAACTGTGGGCAGTCCTCCTTAGCCCCTCTGCCCAGCACCCACAGCCCTGATTCTGGGTCCTTTAGAAAAGACTGAGTGCAGGGATGGCACTTCCCAGAGGCCAGCATTTCTTCCATTGTAGCAGGGATTTTTCAGGAGCTTTGGGGATATCACTGTCCTCCTTAAAAGGTGAAATGTCTTCTTTCCTTTGGCTTTTTAGTCTCAGCAGATTCCTGGTGGTGAGGGAAGCTCACAAGTCGTCATCATTGGTGGCCAGTCCCAAATTGTGACCATCAACAGGCAATGGCGTGTGGCCATCATTGAGAAAAAGGCTGGCATTGGGTCCTGGAAAACCATCTGGAACTACAACACGGTGAGTGGCAGGAAGGGGACTTGTTCACACAGTGTATGAGGAGACTGGCTGCTGATAGGGCTGGCAGAGAGATGGGGCTTGTTTCCTTATTCTGTCCCAGTTGAGAGCACAATTTGGGGTAGGAATGCTCTGAATTTGTTTCTGTTTTAACAAAGGGATTTCTCCAATTCCAATGTGTGAAAGACTAATGTGTGATTTCTTCATATTTTCATTTCACAGGGCATCATTGTAACCAAAGTCACTCAGCAGAATGCCTGCTACATTTCCACCATGAACAGAAATGAGATGCCTCGCTTTGATAACCTGGCCCACCTGGCAGAACAGAGCAGGGTAAGGTTCCCATGGAGCAGCAGAATCCTGCCCCTGGAGTTCATTGGCCCAATTCTTCATGTGCTTTTTCCTTCTGGACAGGAGAATGTTGTCACAAGTGGTTGGATTTCCTTTCATCAACCCTAGAGGGGCTTGGGAATTTTTCAGAGAAATGCTTTGCTGCAACTTGAAAGGGTCTGCACCATTCCCTTCCTCATCTCCACTTTCTCTGAGGATGTTGAGCTGTGCAGTTTGCTTGCCACAGCCTTTCACTGAGGAGCCCTTCAAGGGCCTTGATTCTCTTGACATACAAGGTCTCAAAATCGTACAGAGATTACTCAGTACCAATCTGCATTGGTCAGCTCAGAACTTTGCATGGCGGCTGCTCTTGGCCAGAATCACTTTCCCTTTGGGGTGCATGAGCGCATCTCCCTATTCCTCAGCCATTCCTCTAGGGAATATATCTAGCAGGAACCAGATCACAGCACTGAGCTTTCTGAATGCTGGTATTTGCTGTTTAGAACCAGTTTGGCCTTGGAAGACCTACCAAGAAGATCACCTTTGTCACCAATGGTTTGGTCAGCAACCTCGGGTCTTATGGATCAGATGTCTTCTCTATGTGCAGTGGACTCACCACCTACATGACTTATGAAGTTCACGGTGAGTAAAAGCAAAGGAATTCTAACAGACCTGGCATTTGTTTCCCTTGGGGAATGACCAATGGACAATGGGTGTTCTTCCACTTTGAGTCAGGCAGAAACCAGGGGCATCAGCAGTTGTACAAAGGTTCAGCATCTTTGCAGCTCAGGACTGGAACAGGGTGGGGTCACAGTCCCCATAAATGACCCAAAGCAAATCCTTACAGGTCCTTTCCAGGAAGCTTAAGGAGGCTGAATTTTGGGCCCAGAGTGTTTCAGCTGACACTGGGCTCCCTAGTAATGCCCAGTCAATAAAAGTGTCTCCCTAAGAACAGTTGTACTTCAGGTCAGAGCTGACTGACAATTTCAATGGCAGCCCAGCTCTCAGGCATTAGCTCATGGGGTTTTGTTTCTTCCTTTCTTGCTTTGCAAGGAGTCCAAGTCAATCTGGGATCCTGCATTACCCTGGATGTCCTGAGAGTCGTGGATCTGAAGTACTGCACAGGCAATGGCAATGGACAGGTGAGAAAATCTGACCCTTACCTTTCTGGAACCAAATGGGGGGGGCTTCAGGTGCTTTGGGGATATCACTGCCTTTCTTCACAGGCTAAATATCTGCTTTCCCTTGGCTTTTCAGTCTCAGCAGATTCCAGGTGGCATCTTCAACAACACGCAGGGCAGCAACACACAAGTGGTCATCATTGGTGGCCAGTCCCAGATTGTGACCATCAACAGGCAATGGCGTGTGGCCATCATTGAACAAACGAGCATCACTGGGTCCTGGAAAACCATCTGGAACTACAACACGGTGAGTGGCATGGGTGACTTGTTCAAAAAACAAATGAGGAGACTGGCAGCAGGTAGAGCTGTCCCAGAGATGGGGCTTGTTTCCTTCTTCTGACCATGTTGAGTGCCCAATTTGAGGTAGGAACTCTTGGCCTGCTCTTCTGTTTTAACAAAGGGTTTTCTCCAATATCAGGGCATGAAAAATGATATCCAAGTACTCAATAATTTCATTTTACAGGGCGTCATTGCAACCAAAGTCACGCAGCAGAACGCCTGCTACATTTCCATCATGAACAGAAATGAGATGCCCAGCTTCAATAATCTGGCCCGCCTGGCAGAAGAGAGCAGGGTAAGGTTCCCAAGTGGTAGCAGTATCCTGATCCTGGAGTTAATTGGGATATATATTCGTGCAATTGTATCTGCAGGAGCAAACAAGATTTTCACAAGTGGCAAGATTTTCTTTCTCTCAACATTAGTGGGGCTTGGGAATTTTCCATAAGAATGCTTTGCTGAAAGAAGAAAGGGGCTGCAATATTCCGTCCACAAGTTCCCCATTGCCTGAGAATCTTGAGCTCTGCAGCATGCTGGGCAAAGCCTTGCTCTGAGGAGGCCTTCTATGGCCTTCATTCGCTTGGCATGCCAAGATCTCAAAGTCCTTCACAGACATTTCAGTATCACACAGCATTGGTCAGCTCAGAACTTTGCATGGCTGCTGCTCTTGGTCAGAATCACTTTCCCTTTGATGCGCATGAGAGCATCTCCCTATTCCTCAGGCTTTCCTCTAGGGAATATGCATAGTAGGGACCAGATCACAGCACTGAGCTTTCTGAATGCTGGTATTTGACGTTTAGAACCAGTTTGGCCTGGGAAGACCTACCAAGAAGATCACCTTTGTCACCAATGGATTGGTCAGCAACCTCAGATCTTATGGATCAGATGTCTTCTCTATGTGCAGTGGACTCACCACCTACATGACTTATGAAGTTCACGGTGAGTGCAAGCAATGGATGGGGTCATAGCCCCTGATAAATGACCTGAAGAAAACACTCACAGCTCCATTCTGAGAAGATTCATGGAGCTGTATTTTGGGCACAGAGTGTTTCAGCTGACTCTGGGGTCCCCTGTAATGCCCAGGCAATAAAAAGTGTCACCCCACATATCCAAAGCTGTCCTTCAGGTCAGAGCTGGCTGACAATTTCAATGGCAGCCCAGGTCTCAGGCATTAGCTCATGGGGTTTTGTTTCTTCCTTTCTTGCTTTGCAAGGAGTCCAAGTCAATCTGGGATCCTGCATTACCCTGGATGTCCTGAGAGTCGTGGATCTGAAGTACTGCACAGGCAATGGCAATGGACAGGTGAGAAAATCTGACCCTTACCTTTCTTGAACCAAATGGGGGGGGCTTCAGATGCTTTGGGGACATCACTGTCTTTCTTCAAAGGCTAAATATCTGCTTTCCCTTGGCTTTTCAGTCTCAGCAGATTCCAGGTGGCATCTTCAACAACACTCAAGGCAACATCTTCAACAACACACAAGTGGTCATCATTGGTGGCCAGTCCCAGATTGTGACCATCAACAGGCAATGGCGTGTGGCCATCATTGAACAAACGAGCATCACTGGGTCCTGGAAAACCATCTGGAACTACAACACGGTGAGTGGCAGGGAGGGGGCTCCTTCAAAAGCATCCAAGGAGTCTGGCTGCTGGTACAGCTGACCCAGGGATGGTGATTGTTTCCTTATTCTGACCATTTTGAGTGCACAATTTCAAGTAGAAACTTCCTGCACTTGTTCTGGTTTTAAGAAAGGTTTTTTACAATCCCAAGGCTTGAATGATTAAAGTTTGTGTTCTCAATAACTTCATTTCACAGGGCATCATTGTAACCAAAATCACACAACAGAACACCTGCTACATTTCCACCATGAACAGAAATGAGATGCCCCGCTTTGATAACCTGGCCCGCCTGGCACAAGAGAGCAGGGTAAGGTTCCAAACGTGTAGCAGATTCATGACCCTGGAGTTCATTGGCCCATTTTTTCATTGGTTTTTTCCTTCTGGACAGGAGAATGTTGTCACAAGTGGCAGGGTTTTCTTTCTCTCAACACTAGTGGGGCTTGGGATTTTTTCGGAGGAAAATCCCAAGCCCAAATTTGCTGAAAGCTGAAACGGGGCTGCACCTTTCTCTTTCTTATCTCCACTTTCTCTGAGGATGTTGAGCTCTGCAGCTTGCTGGACAAAGCCTTTCACTGAGGAGCCCTTCATGGGCCTTCATTCTCTTGGCATGCCAATTTCTCAAAGATACCTCCAAAGACTCTTCAGTACCAAACTGCGTTGGCCGGCTCAGAGCTTGGCATTGCAGCTGCTCCTGGCCAGACTCCCTTTTCCTTTGGGGTGTGAGAGAGCATCTCCTTATTCCACAGCATTTCCCCTGGGGAATATGCCTAGCAGGAAACAGCTCCTGACACTTACCTGGCTGATTGCTGTAATTTCATGTTTAGAATCATATTGGTTTTGGAAGACCTACCAAGAAGATCACCTTTGTTGCCAGTGCATTGGTGAACAACCTGAGGTCTTATGGATCAGATGTCTTCTCTATGTGCACTGGACTCACCACCTACATGGCTTATGAAGTTCATGGTGAGTGCAAGCAAAGGAATTCTGTCTCTGAGTGACCTGGCATTTTTCTCTCCTGAGGAATCACCAATGCACAATTGCTACATTTCCACCTCAAGGCAGGCAGAAACCAAGGGCTTCAGCAGTTGTACAAAGGGTTCAGCATCTTTGCAGATCAGGATTGAAAAGGGTGGGGTCACAGCCCCCATAAATGACCCAAAGCAAACCTTACAGCTCCTTTCAGTAATCTTAATGACTCTGGGCCCATGAACTGGCAGCAGCCTCACCATGCAATGCCCAGCCATTGGGACTCCCGTAACCAAGTGCAATAGAGCCCCAATTTCTGCACAGGAAATCCCTAAGGGTGTTGAAGATCAGGTCTTTGTGAGCATTCCTGGCTGAGCCACCGAGCCAGTGCTATTTGGGGACTCCAAGAGAATCTATCCCTCATACAGCTCAAATATTCCCAGAGCAGCAACTCTCCTGAACCTGGTTGGCTCTGAGCAACACCACCATCATTCTGTAAAAAGGCAGCCAAGGTCTTTGGGATCACTTCATGGTGTTTTTTCTTTCCTTTTCCAGGTTTGCAAGGACCCCAGGTGAATCTGGGATCATGCATTACCCTGGATGTCCTGCAAGTTGTGGATCTGAACTACTGCACTGGTAATTTCCATGGCAATGGACAGGTGAGAAAACCTTAGCCCTTCCCTTTCTTGAACCAATTTGGGGGGCTCGAAGCTGCTCAAAGCCAAACCTGATGCCCTTCTTGCCTGACATCTCCTCTTTTGAGAGGCTCCTGCCTGAGTGTACAGATGCTGAAGCAGAGCAGAGGTTTCTGTTCAGGACCTTAAGTGTGAATTTCCTCTGGCCAGTGCTCTGGCATGCATCAACCTCTAAAGGCACCAGCTGGCAGGTGTCAGATGCAGCAATGATTCACTGAATGCTTAAAAAGTAATGCTTGCACCCTTGATTCTGGGTGCTTTGGAAAAGACTGAAGGCAGTGCCAGCACTTCCCGGGGGCAGCATTCTTCCATTGTAGCAGGGATTTTCCAGAAGCTTTGGGCACATCATTGTCTCCCTTCAAAGGTGAAACATCTGCTTTCCCTTGGCTTTTCAGTCTCAGCAGATTCCAGGTCACAACTGCCATTTCTCTGGTGCCTGTGTTTTCCAAAACATGACCCTCAGCAGTCAAACACATGAGGTGATTTTCGAGCAAAGGAGTGAGCAGTTCTCCTGGAAAACCATCTGGAACTACAACACGGTGAGTGCCAGGGAGGAGGGGGCTCCTTCAAAAACTCTACTGGGAGCCTGGCTCTTGGCCCAGCTGGCCCTGGGACAGGGCCTGTTTCTATATTGTCACCATCCTGAGTCCAAGATTAGGGGCAGAACCTCTCAGCATTTGTGACTCTTGTTAGTCAGAGTCTATCCTGTCCCTTTGGGTGGAAAACCAAACCGCAAGTGCTCAATAAGTTTTATTTTTACAGGGCATCATTGCAACCAAACTGGTGCAAGAGAGAACGTGCTACATTTCCACCATGAACAGGAGTGAGATGCCCACCTTTGATGCTCTTGTCAGATATGCTGCAGAGAACAAGGTAAGATTCAAAGTCAGCAGTTGCTTGGAATATTTTTGTACTGAATTTGAAATTCCTTTTTTTTGCCTGAAGCACTGCTGTTTTCAAAACCCTCACAACCAATGGTAAATTAAAAGCCATTTTAATGGTTGTTTTCATTAATGTTTTCAGTGATATTTTTCAGGTACATCATTTGAAGGCTTTCAAAAATTACAATATCCTCATTTGGATGCCTTTAGTGCAGGTTAATTTTGAGTCTAAGTCTCAGATTAGTTAGGTTATTTTTATAATTACTTAAATCATTATTTCAATTGACTTTTTATACTATCTTAGTAACTCAGACTTTAGATTCTTTGCTAAGTATCTTTCATAAAGTCTCATTCTTAAAGTCTAGAAAAATATTTTTTCTTCAGAATATCTAATTGAGGAATAAAAGTATTTCAATTTTATAGAAAAATATTTTGGTAAGCTTTTAAATTTTTTGAAGAGGACTGTACACCATGTTTCAGTTCAGCCATTCACATTAGCACAGACATTATACAAATTATCTCAGCTTTCAACATATTCACCTTTGCTAAAAAGAAGCTTCCCTTGAAATCTGAGAACTGAGTATGTAAAATAACACACCTCAAATAGCAGGAAGGCCTGTAGGGCAGAAGGGAATCAGGAGGAGACTTCTCCTGCCAGCTGATGGCCCTGAGGGGCGAGGGCAGGGACTGAGCAGGGGCCTTGGAAGGAGCCCTGGCTCCACAGAGAGGCCTCACTCCTCTTCATCAGCGCTTTCCTTGTGCTGCCACTTCCCCTCAGGCTCCCTGAGAACCATCGGCCTTTGGAGCTGCCTGCAGGGCGTGCCAGGGGTCCCACAGCCTCCCAGGGATTGAAAGGTGTCCCTAAAGGCAGCTGGGGCTGAAACACCCAGCCCTGAGTCATCCTTCCAGAGAGAGGAACAGCCCCAGCAGGAACTGGATCCCAACCCTGATCCTGCTGAATGCTGTTTTTTGTGTAGAACCAGGTTGGCCTTGGAAGACCTACCAAGAAAATCACCTTTGTCACCAATGGATTGGTCAGCAACCTCGGGTCTTATGGATCAGATGTCTTCTCAATGTGCAGTGGACTCACCACCTACATGGCTTATGAAGTTCATGGTGAGTGCAAGCAAAGGAATTTTGTCTCAGAGTGACCTGGCATTTGTTTGCCCTAGGGAATGACCAATTGCTGCTCTTCCACCTTGACATGGACACAAAGCAAGCAACAAACATGCATCCTTGTAGAAGAGCAGCTGCTGTTGTGGAGATGGGTGTAAATCTACTGAATCTGTGTCAGTTTGTCAATCACAGAGGTTCTTCTATTGAGATCAAAAACTGCATTCTTCTGAAACATATTCAAGTAATTCTTTTACTCAGAGCAGTTAATCCTCAGGCACCATCCAAGTATTCTGAGCCTCTCTCCAAGCTGATGGTCTCCAGCCCTCCTTTGGAAAACACTCTGCAGCTCAGGCTCCAGCTGCTGCATTTCTGGCTCAGCAGCAGTTCCACGTACTCACTGCTTGCTTTGCTTTAGGCTTGCTTTGGCAGCTGACAGGGCTCAAAGGGGTTGGAAAGGCAAGTGCAATGTGCCAGGTTTAAGGGCTGTCAGTGACTGCACAGAGCACTTAAAATCATCTAAGCCAGTGTCTCTATTTTTTTCTTTTTTTTTTTTCTTTTTCTGATGTTGTTTGTATAGGACCCCAGCTGAATCAGGGATCGTGTATCTCTCTTGATGTCCTCAAACTTGTGGATCTGAATTATTGTGGTGGAAATATCAAGGCCTGAAAACCTTATCTTTCTTCAATCAAGAACAGAGGATCCGAGCTGCTGCCCAAGGCAAACCCTGATGCAATTCTTCCCTCACATCTCCTTTTAGAGATGGTCTTGGGGACGTAGATGCTGACACACATTAACTGCTGACCACATCTTTCAAATAAAGTCCCTCATTATGTATTGACTCCAGCTTGTTTCTCATGACTCTATCCTTTTCCATCTAAGAACCCCTCCACAAAAATATTTTTATTGTCTCCCTTCTGCCCCATTTGAGCCCTTCAAATGCTCTTTTGATTGCCAGCTCCCAACACAGGACACAGACAAAGAGCTGGGCAAGCCCCAGGGTGTGGATGGTACAAACAAGGCATTCACAGGCAGCACCTTCCTTCCCTGTTTGGAGAAAGATGCCTCACATTAAGAATCTCGATTCAGGTGCCACAAAAGGCAGGAATGAAGAAGGGCAAAGCACTGAATTTGCCTTTTTTAGGGGAAGGGGGGTTTCTTTTGTGGGATTTACAGAGCTGTTCTGTTCCTAAAATGAGGCAAGGTTGGGATTCCTGTTGCTCAAATCTTTACAATCAAGATTATTATTTCCTTTTGGCAGGATGCCCCAGGTTGTCCAGGTGAATACAAATCTGCCTTCAGTACCAACACCAGCCATGCCACATCCCTCAGTTTCTGGCATACTCAAATCAGCCCTTAGTCCATAACCTGGTGCACACTGGCACAAAGCATCACTGCAACTTTACTGGGAATCTCTGCTCTGCTTCTGATGATCATTGGTTTTCCTTTAAAAGTGGCTGTTCAATACACTGAGCTTGCCATGACCACTTTTCTCTCAGCTCCCTGTATGCCATGAATTCAATCAGGCAGGTATCAAAGCCTCCTCTTATCAGAGCACTTCCCCAGGAACCTCGTCATGCTTCTGTGAACACAGGGCACCTGCCAATAAGGCAAACCCATTTTCAGATTTAACTTTGGGATATTATGTATAAAAAGCAAGAGTGCAGATCAGTTGGCAGCAGGTTTCAAGATCAGTTTGTGGAAGTCAACAGAATTCAGTGGCAAGGGTTGGTCTATTGCTTACTGCATAGATGGAACCTGCAAAGGCAAATCAAATTAAAATCCCTTCAGAATGGCAGAGACAGAGCCCAGGGCTGCAAAGGGTGAGGGTGCAGAGGGTTTAAGAGCATTTAAACACTGACTCATTTACAAGGTGATTCAATAGTGTTTATTACAGTTACAACAAAGACTGAAATATAGATTCTAGATAGCAACATTCATACCCTAATCACTGCTCATGCACCCACACAGGCCCAGAGCTGTTTACATCTCTATCTGTGTGTGCAAAAGGACCTGTTAAAAATTCCCCTGAGTTCACTGAAAGGGGTCAAATGCCTTTGCATTTCTCAGTGGGTGAGGGTTGAGGCTCCAGGAGTGGAGGATTCCAGCCCAGTCTTCAGGAAATCAAATTTTGAGGACTGCAAACCTGAGGCTTTGCAAGCATCAGGACACGTCCCAGTCCACAGGAGAGGCTTGAGGAGCCCACTGCAGTCCAGGGCACTGAGAGGCCCCCTTAGCTCTGCTGTTTATGGAGCCAGGACATGATTGTCCTTGATTCCCAGGAGATTTCCACCCTGGCCTGTCCCAGCCGGTAACAATGGTCCTGTTCCACTCAGGCTGTGATCCAGGCAGATCATGTTCCAAGGCTGTCAGGAGTGAGTGATTGTCCCTTGTTCCCTGCCTGGGTCAGGGAGCCAATATTCCTGATATAAGCAGTGTCACTCCCACGTTTGCCTCTCCCAGAACAGTCATGAAAACCAGGCTGGGGTAAAGGCTGAATGTAAAGCCTGACACAAAAGCACTGATGGCTCTTGTGGGGTTCCCAGCCTCCCCTTTGAGCCACAAACCACCTCCCCTTTAACCTGGGGCAATAATCCCCCAAAACCCGGCTCCTGCAGCCAATGCTTTATTGAGAGAAACTCTGCTGGGAACCCACAAAGCTAAACCCTTCCCTCCTTTAATCTATCCCAGAAATTGGAACATCAAGGAAAGCTCCAAGGAGCCCCACAATGGAAGCTCACACCACTCTGGCACTGGAGTACCACCTGAGCAGGAGAAACATCATACACGTGGCATTGCTGGAGGAGGCAATAAAACCTGTTTATTCTTTTCCCTACCAACAGATTCCTACCTCATAATCATCAGACTCCAGCAGATCAAAATTTCCAAGAGTACAATCCCCATATTGATCAAGTAGTTACACCAGGAAATAATTATCAGGGACATGCAGCCGGGAAACAAACGACAAAATAATTTTATTGCAGCATTCAGCCCTTCCACACCTAATTCTGAAAACAAATAAAAGGTGGGAGGCTCACATCACTTATTCTGCCTTCAGCAGCATCAGCTCTGCAGTCAGGATGCATCTCTCTGTAAGTATGCATGCTTTTCTTCCTTATGAACTGAAGCTTTGATTCAAACCCATTCCTTTACCTCTCAGAAGGGCTCCTGCCTCTCTGGAGCACCAAGGCTTTCTCTGGGGACACTGAGCTCCTCCAGAAGGAGCAGCTCAGCCCCTGGGGTAAAGCAAGGGTGCCTCCCTTTGGGGGCACTGGTGCAATCCCGGGTTGAAAGCAAAAACAGGATCCAAGGAAGACCCTTGAACATCAGATTAGGAAAAGAAAAGGAGGATTGTCATGACCAGATTTGTCAGCCAGAGCTGCAGTTACATTTTGTATTTGATTTTCATTTCAGATTTGGACTGCAGTCCTTCTTGGACTGGTCCTGACCCCAGCCCTTGCTGATCATGTGAGTACAAATGAACAATTCCACAACGCTGCTCTTTCTGTGTTCCCTGCTTCAGAGAAATCCTTGAACCTTTCATTTTCCCAAAGCCTTGGGGCAATAATCACTTGAAAGCCCAAGTGTTCTTTCATTTGTTTTTCTAGCATCAACAGACTGAAATAAGCAAGAAAATCTCCATTAGTGGAGGCTACCAAATTATGACCATCAATAGGAAATGGCTGGTGGCAAGTATTGAGCAAAAGACCAACCATGGGTACTGGAAAACCATCTGGAACTATGACACAGTGAGTGCAGGGAGGGGCTTGTTCAGAGTAGCTCAAACACTCAGTAAAAACTGGGGTTTTTTACTTGTTTTAATAGGTATGAAATTCCAGTATTAATGATTAAATTCCACGTGGCCAATAACTTTATTTGACAGGGCTTTATGGCAACCAAAGTGCTGCCAGAGAGAGCTTGCTACATTTCCATAATGAACAGAACAGAGATGCCCAGCTTCGATGGACTTCCCCAGCTGGCTGCAGACATCAGGGTAAGACTGAAAAGGAGCAGTGGCTTGGAAAGTTGTACTTAATGCACAGTGAAGGTCTTGCTATTTCCAAAACCAACAGCTACTTTGAAGAGCAGGTTCATCACATCATTAATTAGACATTTTTATCAATTTCAGTGACATTTTACAGCAATGCAACTTTCAGCTTTTGAAAATTGCAATGCCCTTCTTCAGATGCTTCCAGCGGAGGGTTTACATGTTTGGCCAATTTTGTAGCTCAGTTAGATGAATCTTATCACATTGTTTATTATTATTATTATTATTATTATTATTATTATTATTATTATTATTATTATTATTTAGTAATAGTAATTTAGTAATAGTAATATTATTTAGTAATAGTAATAATATTATAATAGTAATAGTAATTATTATTACTATTACTATTAATAATATTAATAATATTATTACTATTACTATTACTATTATTACTATTACTATTATTATTAATAACAACTAAAACTAGGAGTGTGCCAGGAGTTGAGCAGAGCAGGGCACTGATCTTGCTGAGTGCTGGTGTTGATGTTTAGAACCAGAAGCACCCAAGACCCCCTTCAAAGGAGATCACATTCAGCCTCGTCAGGAGAGCCATTCGTGACCTGGAATCCTATGGACCAGACACCTCCTCTCTGTGCAGAGGCCTCTCAACCTACGTGGCCTATGAAGTTCAGGGTGAGTGCAAGCAGAGGAATTCTGCCTCTGAACGTTTGTTTCCTTGGGGAATGAATGATGCACAATTGCTGCTCTTCCACCTCAAAACCCACAGGAACCAGGGGCCTCAGCAGTTGCACAAAGGGTTCAGCACCTTTGCAGATCAGGAACAGGGTGGGGTCACAGCCCCCATAAATGACCAAAGCAAATCCTTACAGCTGAAGGATGCTGAATTTGGGGCTCAGGGTGTTCTGGCCCACACTGAGCAGCCCTGAAATGCCCAGTCAATAAAAAGGGGGTTTCTAAGCACCTCTGTCCTTCAGCTCAGAGCTGACCTGGCCCAGAGCCCTTACCAGCATCTCAGTCTGTCTCTTGGTAATTGTTTTTCTTTCCTTGTTTTTGAAGGACCCCAATTCAATCTTGGATCGTGCCTCAAGCTCGATGTCCTCCAATATTTGGCCCTCACCTACTGCCACAACGATAACTTTGTGTGAATCCTGCCCTTCCTGAGCTGCTGCCCAAATCCAGCCCTGCTGGAATTGTTCCCTGGCATTTCTCCTTCCTGAGGCTCCTTCCTGAGGATGGAGTGCTGGAGCAGATCAGTTGGTGAGCAGAGCTATCAATTAAATTCCTTCATCATGGAATAACTCCAGCCTGTTTGTCATTACTCTTTTCGTCCCATTTTTGCCCCTTTCATTGCTCTTTTCATCCCAGCACAGCCAGAGAGCTGGGCAGCCCCCAGGGTGTGTGGCACAAACAAGAAATTCACAGTTTGGACCTTCCTTCCCTGCCTGGGGAAAGATGCTTCTCATTAAAAATCCAGGGGGCACAAAAGGCAGATAGAAAGAAGTGAAAAACAATGAATTTATATAATTTATATATATATATATATATATATATATATATATATATATATATATTTTTTTTTTTTTTTTTTTTTTTTTTTTTTTTTTATGGGAAGGGGAGTCTCCTTTGTGGGATTTACAGAGTTGTTCTGTCCCTAACCTAAAACAAGGCTGGGATTCTTGTTGCTTAAATCTTTATATTATACATTTTTTTGGTACATTTATACATGAATAATTACGGCAGACCAGGGAAGGAAAAAAATCCTCTCGGCCACTGAGTGTCAGCCTCGAGTTGCACAAGAGGGATGGGAAAGGATCCCTTGCGGAGCACCAGGGCAGTGCAGTGGTGCCGGTTCTGGCAGTTTTCACAGGGCACTGGGACGGCTCCCTGAGGTCCCCTGGAGAACGGGGAATGTGATTTTTAGGAGCTGACAGAAGCCGTTGCCCATCAGCCAGGGCAGAGCCCAAGGGAACCACCCAAAGGTGCTCCAGAGGCAGCGGCTGGAGCCTCACCTTGCTGTGTGCAATTAAAACACCTCACACCTCCCTGTCCTCCCACACACACACCCAGAGCACACTCAGCCCTCCCAAGGTCTCTCTCACACCACCTGCAATCTCCACAATGCTTTTGGTTCTGGTATTTTTAGTGAGGGGGAGAAAAGGCAGACAAATTCCAGCAGCCCTCTCGTGTCCCACGTGAGCTGGAGTGTTGGTGCTGCTCTCACCAGATCATAAACAAAAATACACACTCCCAAGGCAGGTGTATATTGGTCCTGAAGGAACTCAGAATTTCAGGATAAAGCTCAGATAAAGTTCCCCTTGGTCAGCAGCTCCCTCCACCTCAGAGCACTCCCAGCTCCCTCTGATGCTTCATTCCCTGGCTTCTCCCCAAGCTCTCCTTGTGTCACTCTGACCCCACAGCTACCCAGAGAATCTGATCTCCTCCTCCAGCTTTGCTTAGGGATGTTTTAAAGGCAGATTTAATGCTTCAAGCAGGGCAGGGCAGCTGGAAAGCCTGGCACAGTGCATTGCATCCCCTGAGAGCCCCACTGAGCTCACCAGGTGTTGGCACTTAGGAGATTGGGGTTGTTGCTGTGCCCTGAGGGTCTGGCAGGGAAACCTGGGAGCCCTGGGGCAGTAAGAGCTGAGCTGGAGGTGCCAGGGGCTCCCTCGATGGGGCTGGGGCTCCCTGTGAGCTCTCCTGCCTGCTTGGGAGCCTGGGGTGCTGTTTGTGGAAGGAGACAGGACAGGTGAGTGGAAATGGATTTACATTCTCCACTGGGTTTCCTTGGGACAGGGGGAGTTCAGCCTTTGGATTTTGGCGAGGGTGGGGATTTGGGGCAGGCTTTGATGAGCCCAGGCAGTGCTGAGCACGGCTCAGGAGTGAGAAAAGGCAAGGCAGGAAGCCTGGCATGGCTTCTCACTCCTGAGGAGCTGCCCCCGAGGTTTTAAAGGTGTTTAAGCTCGGACGTTGCCTGTGTGGGGAGCAAAGATGTCCCTGCGCATCTCCTCTGCCTGTGTGGAAACAAAGATGTCCCTGTGCATCCCTTCTCTCTGTGTGGGGAGCAAAGATGTCCCTGCACATCTCTTCTGCCTGTGTGGAAATAAAGATGAAGTGACAGGATGGGGGGAATGGCCTTGAGGGCAGGGTTGGGTGGGGTTTTGGGAAGGAATTCCTCCCTGTGAGGCTGGGATGGAATTCCCAGAGCAGCTGTGGATCCCTGGCAGTGCCCAAGGCCAGGTTGGAGCACCCTGGTCTATGGAAAGTGTGGGACCCGTGGTGGGGCTGGATGGGCTTTGGGGTCTCCTCCCACCCAAACCATTCCAGGATTCCCTGGGCAGGTTTGGATGGGATTTTGGGGAGAAATATTGGGAGAGGGGCTGGGATGGAATTCCCCGAGCAGCTGTGGATCCCCGGCAGTGCCCAAGGCCAGGCTGGACAGGGTTTGGAGCACCCTGGGGCAGTGGAAATGTCCCTGCCAGGGCAGGGCTGGGATGGGCCGGGCTTTAGGTCCGTCCTAACTCCAGGCTGGGGTTCCGTGCTGGGAGCGCTCGGCAGCTGCGGCCACGAGAGGGCATTCTCCGAGCTTCCCCTGCTGAGGAAAAGCAGAGCTTGCCATTTTCAATAATAACAATAATAATTAAAGGGGGGGAGGAAAGCCACAAACCCTCCCCGTATTTGCTGAGCTCCGTGACAAAGCGAGATTTGTGAGGAGGAGGCTGCTCCTGGCAAACAATGCCGCTGCTCGCCCAGGGCTGCCGGGGAGACTGAGGGTCAAGTCCCTTTAAAAAAAAAAAAAAAAAAAGAAAAAAGTGCAATACAGAATTGTGCATCTTGAAATCTGAAACCGAGAAACAGCAGCGCCAGGGAAACAAGGGGGAAAGCCTCGCAATTCCTGAGGACAACTGTTGCGAGTGGAGTTTTGAGGAATACAACACACGCCTAAACCTCCTGCAGGTCGTTGGATGGCTTTTGTGGGGAAACCGGGGAAATAAAGGAGCCTCGGAAGAAGAGATTTCTTTTTCTCCTCCTCTCTGGATATAATGGCCATTGCAAAGCTGAGCATCTGGAGGTTTGGTTTCCAGTGCGCCTTCCTGGCAGTTTTCACCCTCACCTGCGACGGGCACGGCGGGAGGAGAGAGAACGGAGGTCCTGCCTGCTATGGGGGCTTTGATTTGTATTTCATCCTGGACAAGTGAGTCCCTCCCGCTTTGTTCTTTCCCGCCGAGCTCTGGGCTGCTACCGAGGAGGTTTCCTTTGGGTTCGGGGTTTGTAGGCGTCCCTGTGTCCCCAGGGCACCTCTCGCTCTGTTATTGCTGCGGGAGCTCTTTGCTGGCTCCGGTGCCTAAACCCCTTTGTGCTCCGCGGTGGCATCGTTGGGGATTTCACAGGGCGGGAGCTTTGTGTGTGCCCAACTCGAGTTTCTCAGAGCAGGGCAGCGCCAGGGTCCCCTCTGCTCTCCCGTGAGCCGGGGGCGCTGGGGCTCCCCGAGAGCCGGGGGGGCAGAACTGGCCCTGGAGAGACCAATCCAGGCTGGGATGTACAAGGAATGCAGAATTGGCCCTGCAGAGACCAATCCAGGCTGGGATGAGCAGGGAATGCAGAATTGGCCCTGCAGAGACCAATCCAGGCTGGGATGAGCAGGGAATGCAGAACTGCCCCTGCAGAGACCAATTCCAGGCTGGGAACATGCAGGGGGTGCAGAACTGGCCCTGGAGAGACCAATCCAGGCTGGGAACATGCAAGGGGGTGCAGAATTGGCCCTGCTGGGAACATGCAGGGGGTGCAGAATTGGCCCTGGAGAGACCAATCCAGGCTGGGAACATGCAGGGGGTGCAGAATTGGCCCTGGAGAGACCAATTCTAGGGCTCCCACCAGAGCAGGGGGTGCAGTATTGTTCCTGCAGAGACCAATCCAGGCTGGGATGTGCAAGGAATGCAGAATTGTTCCTGGAGAGACCAATCCAGGCTGGGAACATGCAAGGGGTGCAGAATTGGCCCTGGAGAGACCAATTCCAGGGCTAGGATGTGCAGGGAGTGCAGAATTGTTCCTGCAGCTCCAATTCCAGGCTGGGATGTGCAGGGAATGCAGAACTGTCCCTGCTGGGACATGCAGGGAATGCAGAACTGTTCCTGCAGGGACGTTCAGGGAATACAGAACTGTTCCTGCTGGGACATTCAGGGAATGCAGAATTGTCCCTGCTGGGAACATGCAGGGAATGCAGAATTGTTCCTGCTGGGACATTCAGGGAATGCAGAATTGTTCCTGCTGGGACATGCAGGGAATGCAGAACTGCTCCTGCAGGGACGTTCAGGGAATGCAGAACTGTTCCTGCAGGGATGTTCAGGGAATGCAGAATTGTTCCTGCTGGGACATGCAGGGGGTGCAGAATTGTCCCTGCAGAGACCAGTTCCAGGCTGGGACATTCAGGGAATGCAGAACTGTCCCTGCTGGGACGTTCAGGGAATGCAGAATTGTTCCTGCAGGGACATTCAGGGAATACAGAACTGTCCCTGCAGGGACGTTCACGGAGCTCTGCCCCTGGCCCCGAGCTGGGTCCCTGCCCCTGTGCCCCCAGCAGCAGCAGCTCCAGGCACAAACCAGCCCAGAGAGGAGCTGCTCCCTTCGGAGGGGCCGAATTCAGCTGCAGGCATGGAGAACAGCTCGAGTGCCTCATTTAAAGAGCTCTGTTTGCCCGAGCTGAGTCACACTTTCTTTGTTTCTTCTGTTAATCAAATGCATATTTTGCCTGTTTGGCTGTTTGTGCTGCAGATAACTTCCTGCCTCACTTTTTCATCGCTGATTGTGGCAGTGTCACCTCCTTGGCACTGCAGCCCGTGCTGCTTTTTGCAGATGTGCATGGAGCAATGTGGAATCATTTTGTGCTGAGCTTTGGAAAGCTTCTCACTAAAGCAATACAGCGATTAAAAAAGAAAGGAAAAAAACTTTTTAAAAATACTAGCTGAGATGGCTGTCCTGGTTTTCTTGATCAAGAGCAGTTCTTTTGAACCAAAGGCTTGGAAATGGTGGAGGTGCTGCCTGCCAGAGCCATGGCACTGACATTAACAACCATAAATTTCAGAGACAGGAAAGTATTTGCGAGTTGCCAGAAGCGCTCACAGACGAAGTTTCTGCCTGATCCTCTGGAGTGTTTTGCAGCAGCTCCCACATTCCATCAGCAGAAATGACTTGGAATTACATAACCCTTTATTACAAAATCCTGGGCAAAACCCAGCGCTGAGACACTGGCTGCTTCAGAGTGCCAGTGGTCCTGATGCTCCAGGGGCAAG